AGGGGTTCTGTCCTTGGGGAAATGTCAGTTCTAGGGACAGTAGGTCCTCCGGTGTCCTATCTTGTCAAACTGAGGACAAGGAGCCTTAGGAGGATGCCTAGTGTGTGGCCATTTTCTCTTCTACTGGCCTATCTGGTGTCAGACAACATTTATTTGTCAGTTTACTTCCTCTGGGAGAAAAGCCAGCAGATCTTAAGTCTCCCTCTATGATGCCAGAAAGTTCTACATGACTTTCATTCTCTCTTTCTAGCAGCTTTTAGCGTCCTCCCTCCCTCCCCCTTGTTTTGCCTCCACATGACCTTTTTTTTTTTTAGTTCATTTACAGAGGAAACTAAAAGAATAGGCAGGTATGCTCCACCTGCAGAGGCCTTCTGGAAAAACTCAGTGTAGGGCAACCCCTTTTCCCACTGGCACGAAGGCATCTGAGCTTCCTGACAAACCACATAATTGTGACAGGATAATGTCTTAAAAGCAGATACCGGGGCTGGAGAGATGGCTCAGCGGTTAAGAGCACTGACTACACTTGCAGAGGACGTGGGTTCGATTCCCAGCTCCCACATGGTGGTTACGAACTGACCTTAACTCCAGTTCCAGGGGAATCAGAAGCTCTCTTCTGACCTCCGCGGCACTGCATGACACGGGTACACTCACATACATGCAGGCACATACACATACATACACATAAAAAAAATAAAAATAAAAAAGTAGATATCAAGGCCATAAATCTCTGTCACTACTCACTATTTATGTTATAACCTGAATATACATACAATATTGATGCATTCCTAGTAAAGAAGAGACAATAATCTCTGAGAAACACCACACAGCAATTCAACTCCAACAGGCCATAAACTGCATTTTCCCCACACTGAATTAACTGTGATGAGCATAAACTGAACAATTGAATAATAGCTTTTTCCTTTCCTGAAGTTTGAAGTGTATTTCAAGATGCTTTTATTTTTCTCTTAGTAAATTCTTTTGTAATCAGAAAAGCATATGTAATTATTCCATTATCCTTTCCATCTGTCTAGCAGTGAAATTCACACTATCAGAAGACCATTGAAATGGAAGTTAAAGACAGCATAAGGTCATTTGAATCAACGTGTATACAGGAGGTCCTGACACAGACTAAAATGATTGCAGCAGAAGTATGTAATAACTAGGACCTACAAATTGATGCTGGAACTTTCTCTAAGTTTTCCACTCTTTATTTTCCAACTATCATTCCTAAATTAGGGTTTAAATATGAATGTATTCCCTGCTATTTTTTGTTTTGAAAGTAAGTTTTGATATTTGTCTTTCAAGAAGTGATACGTGTTCATTGCAGAAATCAAAAAAAATATAATTTTACCACCCCGAAGTTGGTCATTATAAACACTTGTACATATCTGTTTTCACTTATTTTTGTTTTCTGTTACACAACATTGAATTTTTTATTTTGATCCCCCCTAGTTAATCTTCCCCAAACATTTTTCCTTGTTTTAAGATGTTTCCAAAGTATTAGTGTAATAGCCATGGAGTATTTCACTGCACAGGTCAACTAAATTTGCTTAAATGGGGCCCTATTTGAGGCAGTCTAGTTATTTCTTCTTTCTTGACTTAGAGTGCATTGAGATGGAAATCTTTATATGTGAAGTCTCTGACCACATGGATCATTGAGTCTTGAGTCTAAACTTTCCCTGTTGAAGAATGAGGACCTTTCTTTGGATGCTCCTTCAAATTACCAAAATGTTCTCCAGGAAGATTATCTGATGACATTATTGTAGATGTGGGAAGCAGAACAAACTGATCTGAATTCATAGTTTTGCAGAGAGAGAGACATCCCTTGGCAATGCAACCTTGGGCAGAGTTCCTAACACTTCCAAATTTCTGTTAGGTAGGGTAAGAGTGGTATCTGCCTCTTTCCTATCCTGGTTCTTTATGAGAGATCCTCGAACTAGATAGAACTCTCATAAGATTTAGTTAGTCGAGTATTAACGACCTTCTGGGAAATTCAGTTCATATCCAGGATGGCCAGAGATATGACCTGGAGACAATCTATGTAAAAACAAAAATCTTGCATATAATTTAAGAGTAAGCAATTTTAGCCTTTTGACAATAAGTATATATAAAAAACGTCCCCATTTTTTCCCACAAACTGAGTGTAATTTGTGTGAAATTAAACAACTTTACATATGAAAACCAGTACCTTAGAATTTTATTTATTTTTATTTAATTTAGTATTTTTATTTTATTTCATGTGGCTGAGTGTATTGCCTGCATGTATGTAAGTGCACTGGTGTCGTGCAGGGCCCATGGAGGTCAGAAGAGGTCATAAGATCCCCTGGAACTGGAGTTATGGACGATTGTTAGTTGCCCTGTGGGTGCTGGGAATCAAGCCCAGTCCTCTGAATGAGCAGTCAGTGCTCTTAGATGAGCCATCTCTCCAGCCCCAACATATCTTAGAATTTTAACATCTGTGACAAAACACATCTTTCAAGCTTTTAAAAATTATGTTGGAATAATTCAAGTAAAAGACTGATTTTGACAAACATTGTTCCATTAAATGCTGTTTCTCATGAATACCAGGGCATCTGAAAAATCTCAATTCTTCCTTAGTTTTAGTATGTAGTCATGTTATTAGTTGAATATGTTGGTGAGGTAGAATATACATATATATATATAATTGGAGAAAGTTATTAAATGTGTACTTAAGTCTCAACATTTCAATAAAATTGGATTCAACTGTTCAAAATTCATTTTAAATAGAAGAAGTAGTTTCATAAGGCAACTAGTAGAAATCATGAAGAAACATGGGTAATAGTCACTAACAATCTGGTCATTCAAACAAATTAAATTTTATTTGTTTACTGCTCATGAAAATTTTACAGAATCACAGTAGGTGTTCTTTGCAGTAGGATATGTCCTTTTCTCATGTTAAGACAAGCCCTTTTCTACATAATCCCATCCATTACCAAGCTCACTAGAGGCCAGTCAACATGTACCATACCAATGGGAGCTGTATACAGAGGAGAGACCTCTGCATAGTCCACAAAGAGGGGAGTCACAACCTTACTGGAGATGTGAATTGGGCATGGTATTAGAGGAGGAACCTAGGGCAGCCAACAATGCTCTTTGTGAAGTCTCAGCTTGAAGATGATAGGTGTAAGTCTTTCTGTAATGAAAATTCAGAGAAGAAGGACTTGGGTTTCACTGACTTCATAGTTGACATTGAGTGGCCACTTTAAAGAAAAGCTTGATTTGACTTTTCTTTGGAAATGCAGAAGCTCCATTCAGTGTAAAGACACAACTATATATTCAGTGCCTGAATGCGTTTGCTATAATATGATTTTACCAGATTTCTGGAATCTAAGAATTGGAACTACATTTTGGTCTAAGTATTAGAAATGCAGCTTTCATTGTTATAGAAATGATAGAGATCAGTTTTTCAGTCCTGGTTAATGTGTTAAATGATATGCATCTGGCAGTGAAATGGACCAACCTGTTTAAGTGACACCTGTTTAAGTGTCAGCTCTGTGTCTTTTTGTCTTTTAAGTTACTGTTTCTCTAGCCTGTGTCTTTTAGTGCTAGGCTGTGGTACTTTTGTGAGTGTACTGTGCTAACACCAATCTTTGAATATGATTTCTGATATTTAGTTCTAGTTTATAGCAAGTGGTATAGCAACTAGTGCCCAGAGAGAGCTAACTCTTCTCTGCAATCAGTGGCTACATATCCCACACCAAGAGAAATATTGACATGTTGACACTACATAGTCATGTTCCAAACACTTTCAGGTTCATAAGCATTACTTACAATCTTGATTATTAAGTTTTCTTTTTCAGCCTTGAAATGGAATATATGGGGAAGGAAATTTGCTTTAAAAAGACATGAAAGATAAGAGTACCTTAGTTTTATTAATCTTGGAGTTTTCTTTAATAAAAGTCAACTCAAACTTGTTAAGCAGTAATTTTGTTTGCAAGATTGTAGTATGATACAATAAGAGGGCTATAGCTTTCAAAGTTAGGAAATAGAATATCATTTCTTCTTTTGCCACTTATAAGAATGAATATGGGCCCATCTTTTTATTTGTAATAAAGTGATCCCCTCATTTATAACACAGGAATTAGAGTCAGTATGCCTTGTTTATCATGTGTGGCAGATGATAAATTATTTAATAAACTGTAATAATTTATACTAATGCAAGGTCTTTATTGTGTTTATATAATCAACATGTCTAAGAATTTATTAGTTTTCACTTAAACATGTTTACATTTGATATCTTGATCATTCATTTTCCTATTTAAACTTAAATTGTGGAGACATTGATTCAATCCTCTTCACTGCTCAAGCTAATCAAGTATCTGAAATGCTTGCTTTCTTGGTAATTTATTATCCTGAATTCTAAAATTGAAGATGGATATAGCATTCTAAGACACTGAAAAAGTGAATGCTAATTGTACATCTTATGAAAGTATGGGTTTTTATGCTCTTATCAAGTTTGTTGCTATTTTTGGGTGTGTTCTGTGGAACCAACCATTCTAATATTGGTTACATTCACAAATGGCAGCATGTTGACAGTGACTATGTGCTAAGGACTGCCTTTCTACTAGGGTAGCCTCTGGGCTTAGTTCTGTGTATGTCTATGTTAGTTAAAATTAAGTCAACTTAGAAATCCAGTAGCTCAGTTGCACCATCTGTCTGCCAGGTCCTCAATCACCAAATATAGATAGTGGCCTCTTTGAACAGTTGAAATATTAGAACATTTCAGTCATTGCAACAAAACCTTTTGAAAGGTCCTGCCAGACTAAAGAAAACCTCATATTGCAGAGCTCAAAGGTGTTCAGCACTAAGGTTGCACGTGGAACTTTTAATACTTATATTTTAGGATTTCAACCACAAATAACAGCCTTTAATGGTCAATCATGCCTCATATATACACTCTCATATAATCACCCAACTTTCTGAAGGTATTTGTTAATTTGACATTTTAAAATATGTTTTTTCTCTGTTGGGTCCCATAGGTCCTGTGTGACAGACATGTGTGAATGTCCAGTCCATAAAAATTGTTACTGTGAGTCATTTCTAGCATATACCCGTGCCTGCCAGAGAGAAGGCATCAAGGTGCACTGGGAGCCTCAGCAGCGCTGTGCAGGTAAGAAGGCCCTGGAGGGTCCCTCCAACAGAAGGTCACTGCTGTGGCCAGGATGCAATGGGGAGATTTACAGACACTGATGTGAATGGGCCATATCCTGGAATAAAGGGAAATTCTGTCAGTGACCCAACTGGTTTGCAACTTGATAAAACACAGAAGCTTCCCATGGGGCAGAGTATACAGCATTTAAGACAAATTTTTTGTGACATGCATACTTAAGCAATTTAAGGATTTCCACTGTTGCAAAATCCTCTCAACTCCAAGCTTCCAGCTGGATGTACTTAGTACATGGACAGTCATAATTGGCTTAGGTCATGTGTGGACAGAGGAGATTCAGGACTGTCACAGTCATCTAAGGTCTTCAGGATAGGCATGATCTTTTAAAAAGAGATTGTTGAACAGACCTCAGTGGATGTTTTGCTCCCCTGGAGAAACAAATTCCTACATTAGTGCTTATTCACCCTTTATCCTCATTCATTAGCTTATTTGATATATGTAAAATAGATTCCTCTATTCATCTAAAAATATTTACTACAAAGTGTGTAAGCATGGGGCATTTTGTTAGACACTGTGGGTGCTTTGATGATTATGAGTGATGAGTTTCTTGTCATTGAAGTGCTGGAAAAAACAGATCAAAATGTTAACACTACAATAAACACTTGCAAATTATAGTTAATTATGAAGAAAAACAAATAGGGCATAGGGTTAGACAGCAAATGGAGAATGGGTAGGTGACTCTTTAGGGCGAAGAGGAAGGCTTCCTTACAGAGATGGCATTTCAGTACCACCCTGAGAGACTGAAGGTAGTCAGGACAGGTAGTGAGTGTATGCAGTAGAACCATGTGGAATAGAACTAGTACTGTCCACATTGGAAAGGAGTCAGTTCTGGTTTTATCCTGGTGTACAAGGTAAAGGGGACCACAGTGAGAATGGGTAGAGTAGAGGATGGACTGTACAGAGCTGTGCAGAGCTTTTATTTCAAGGAAAGTGGAAACCACTGGTGAACTCTAAGAAAGCATGTTTTCCAAAGACTGGAGAGAGTCCATGCTGAAGACAGATGACCAGGGAAGGGCTATTGAAGTGCTCATGCTATAAAACTCATGATGTTTTGTTTTAAAATAGAGAGGGATGTTCTGGAATTTCACCATGCCAGGGTATAAGTATTACTGATAGATGTATGAAGCATGCTTAGTCAATGGAACAACTGCTCCTATTTAGAGTTGAAGTTGTGATGAATATTTGTCTTCTAAGGTCAAGAATTGGGAAGCTTTTCAGTATAAAGGGCCAGATTGCTAAGAAAGAAAAGTCTGATTTTCATTATTCTAAGATAGTCCTAATAAGCTTAGCTCACATCCTAGATAAGAAAGAATGTCATTATGAGCTCCAGAATGCCTTCACTGGTGGGACATGAGTATGGCAGTGGATTTAAAGAGTGAAGAATTACCTTGAATCCATGTTTACAGTGCACAGACACTGTGTTCACTTAAAGCAGTAGGTCTCGACCTAGCTGGAATTAGAATCACTCTGGGAGGTTAAAAACCATGCTAGAAGCCAGGCTTCAGCCCCATTCCTAAACAGCCTACTTTAGTTGGCCTGTGTACCTCTAAGAACTTCCTAGGCAGGTGACTTTCACCTGCAGCCCCAGTTAGCTTGTGTGCTTCTTGGGTGGCCTTGGTATAGTAGGACGATGGGTACATGGGAGAATCTGCCCTTTGATGAGGCTGTGTCTTTGTAAAGGGATTGAAGTCTTTTATCTACCAGTGAGATCCCTTCAATTTTGCTCTCAACTCTGCAAAGCCAAGTATAACCTTTATGTCAGGGCTCACTTTCTACAGCAAGAACACCACTCTGTCTGTACTCCTGTTCTCAGAGGAGTATTGAGCTGATATGAATAATTCATATTAAAGTGCAGTTGTAGATGCTGGAAGTGAGGCAAATGTTTAACCTCTGACCCCAGGCTTCCATGCTAGGTCAAATATGAGAGGGCTGTGCTTGCTCAGGATCAAGTCTTTCTAGTTCATCTTTAATACACCTAACTCCCTTACTTTATTTTGGGTTTTCCTTTTCTTAAATCTCCCAGAAAATTAATAAAATAGAGAGAAGAGAGCACCCATGCATCCATCCTGGTGTAATGAAGAACTCTGTGTGTTTTGTTAGCTGTGGTGTTGCTGTGGTTTGGATTATATTAGATACAGGATATATGAACCTTCTCCTCCTGGCCCAGGGCAATACTTAGCATCATTCCAGGGCACACATTGCATTTGAGGACTACACATTTCACATCAGCATCCTCATTTTAGGTCCTAAATCTCTGAAGCTAAAATTGATTTTCTAATGGAAAAGGAATATGTCCCCTGAAAGGTTCCTTTTACCTTTCAAAATTAGTGGAGCCATCTGTGTGAAATATAGCTCCATCAGGGCAGACGATGCTACACAAACACATACACACACACACACACACACACACACACACACGACTTCCACAGATTGGCAGCTGGTATATGGAAAATTGATTTACAGGGCTCTGTTGCATCTCTCAATATAGTTAGGTCAGATTCATCTAGAATATTGAAGACTGTAAGAATATAATTTACTTGCTTGTAACTCCCAGGTTCTGTAACTCAAGACAGCACTTGAGGCTCTTAAGACATTCCAGTGTAAAAATCTTGGGAGTTGAACAAAGAAGTAAACCAGGCAAGAAATGCTGAATGAACAAGCGACATTACATAGGTGTTTAATAGTAATCATTCTTAGCACTTATGTCCTCTGCTAAGCATTGTACTATAATTTTATATCGTATCTTATCGCATGCCCATGACCTATACAGTAAACATTATAAATCATACATTTTATTGATAAAGATATTGAGAGAGAATGATTAAGTAATTTGCTAAAAGTTTAAGAGTCTAAGAACTACAAAGTAAGGAGACTTGGGTATCAAACCCAGGCCAGTTTAAACCATGGCTTCTCTTTTCAGTCATTAAAAGAACACAGAAAAGCAAGAGCATTAAACAAAATGTGAATATGAATTTATATGAGTATCAGTTGATTTATCCAAGTATTTGATACCTAGATCTTTATTAGCATTAGTGATTGATTTCTGTTCAACCACTCCTGGTAGGTGTTCCTCTGTAGCTTCTGATTCTGTAAATTTGTTGTGATCTTGTCTCCTGTATCCCACATTGCCATCTTTAGAAAAACTTCTGCCACCTGCAGCCTGCAACTGATGCTCATTGACACCGCACCTTCACTAACACATTTTGCAGCTGGAACAGGTGCTGGTAAAGCAGGTTTCTGTGTTTTTCTGTAGCACTGTGTATGGTTTGTTTTGTCCTGTGAGTACTTTCCTTCTTCCTCATTTGCTTCCACAGCCCCTATGTGTGCTAGTGCCTCCCCTACATCTCTACCCAGTTACATACTTTGAGCTTTTCCTTGGCAGACTGGTTGCCTCCTGTGAATACAGGAGATATAGTTAGGTATTATGACTTCCGCACTCAGGTGAGGGGGTGAAGCATAGAAACAGCTTAATTCTAGATAGCACAGGGAGATGCTTACTGCATAAATTGACAAAATCAGCATGTAATGCCTTTACTATGAGTCACTGTAGTAATAAAAAGCAGCCCTCTGCTTGCTTTTTATTATGTCAATGGGATTTGTTCTTTGTAGTTTTTCTTGATCCCTACCTGATGCTCAATGTTGAGTCAATATTTTGTCTCTGCTCTTATACTGCATTTTGGTCTCATCCTCTAGTAGAGCTACTTTACTTTGTATTAGGAATTTACCTGTCAGGTTCATCTACTTGGTTGTAAGCCAAGCCTCTGTACTTGGAGGTCATAGATGGTATCTGTCTCACATCTGATCCTCAAGCTTAAGAGAACAAACATAGCAATACTCTATAGGTGTTTTTGATTTAATTTTAACCGAAATTGAAATGAGATGTTTCTGTATGATGGAAAACAATGAGGAGAAATTTCTCTTTTTTTGTCTTTCATTTCCTGTAGTCTACTTTCTACCTATCCACTGTGAAATATGTCAGTGTTTGATATGGAAAAGATAAGGGGTCACTGGTGGAAGTAAGTGGTGGAGCTAGAAGAAAGAATTGGGGATACAAGACAAGAGAAGACACAGGCGAGATTTTTCTATAGGGAAGGAAGACAGTTGGAAAGAGGAACTTTCCAAAGGAACTTTAGCAACTCGGGCAACAGTTGAAAGGGAAGAAAACTTTGAGGAGGTGAGTGCTGAAAGGTGGTCAGGAAACAAAAGTATGGAAAATGAACTTGATGCTGTACAAAGAAAATCCACATTGGAAATGGAGTGATGGATTAAATGCCATTAATCATCATGAAATCATCAGAGGCAGGGAAGAAAAAAAACCATCATCCAATAGGCTCTTTTTAAACTGCCCCTCTGTGCTTGGTCCTGTGTCAGAACTCTGGGTCTTAGCAGATAAGGGCCCTTCCCTCAGGAGCCTAACCTCAGTGGCTCATTCTCTTCAACCTAGGGCGGGGGGGAGACTCTTAGAACCGTTTAAAGCTACAAATACACAGACTTTGCTGCAAACTCAGTGGAAATCTTGAAAGGTGGTGCTGAGATATAAATATCTTTTCAGAGATCATTAAAGGCTTTTTAGGAGTTTCTCTAAGAGAAATCACATCTGAAGGGCTGGGAGATAGCTTGGTCAGTAAAGTGTTTGCCTTGCTCACTAGGGACATGAGTTTAAGCTTCAGAACCCAGGTTAAAAAGTGCAGGGCAGAGTGGCATATGCTTGTAATCCCAGAAGTGGGGAGGGGGAAACAGAAGAATCCTTGAGGTTTGACAGCCAGCCAGCCTAGCCTACTTTGGCAAACTCCAGGCCAGTGATTATGTACATTCATATACACAGCCCTACAGACCACAGACCCACATGTGTACACACACACACACACACACACACACACACACACACACACACACACATACACACGCACGAACCAGAGCTGCACTGTATTTGGACAATTCAAACAAATAACTACAATGTGGAAAGTGTGTGAGATGCAGAGGGAGGAGGACATCTGGGGGTCCAGGAAGCTATTTGAAGGAAGTGACATTTGAATGAAGATAAGAAATTAAATTTGTCAAAGATTTAAAGTTAATAATAGTAGAGTCAGAGTTCTGCAATTGGAAAACAGATCTGGAGTGGAGTTAGGGAGGAAGAGGAGAGGAGAAAGGACTGAGACAATATTAGGAAAGACTATAAGAGGTAATTTGAATATTCGTCCCCAACATGTGTCCTAAAGAAGTTAGCAAAGAGGGGAGTTTGATATTATAAGTGAAAATAGACAAAAGGCCAAATACTTTGTGGGGTCTTTAGAGAGTGAAAGCTGCCATTATGTCAGCAATGGCCCTCAGTGAAAACTTAGGAGGGAACTGCTTCAAAACGTAGTGGGTTGGGCTGGAGAGGTGGCTCAATAGTTAAGAGCACTGACTGCTCTTGCAGAGGACCTCGTTCAGATCCCAGCACCCACATGGCAGTTAACCATCTGTAACTCCAGTTTCAGAGGATTCAATGTCCTCTCTGTCCTTTTTGGGCATTGTATGACATGGGTGCACTTACACTCATACACATAAAATAAAAATAATAAATAAAATATTTTTAAAGTAATGGGTGGGAAAAACAGGTTGTGTTAATGAACTGCAGAGTAAGGCAAAATGATTGTAAAATTTTCCGTAAACTTTGGCACTGAAAGGGGTAAAAAGTAAGTCTGCTAGCTTAAAGAATGGCTTTGCTAAACAGAGGGAGAAGACTGATGTGCAAGGGGAAAGAAGGACAGCAAGGAAGTTTCTGGAGCAGAGAGCAGAAAACCTAAATGGCAAACAGAGTTATATATAAATTTGGAGCGGCAGTGAGTAGGTGAATGCAGGTTACCCACGTCCATGCCTTAAATGAATCCTGAAAGAGGATTTCATGCTTTGATGGTGGAAGAGATCCAGCAGAGTTTGAGGACAATGGTTGGGAACAGGTAGGACCTTCCATTGTGCACCTGCTTTCACTTTGGAGCCACCATTGGTTGCTCATCTCTGCAGTGAGGGAAACATGCATGTGAAGGCTATTTACAGGACAAGTCTCAGTCCTGACTGCAGGTTAGAGTCACCAATCTGCCTTGTGGAAGCCGTGTGTTCATTTTAAATGACTGTCACCCTGGTCCCACTTTCGGAAGTTCTAGTTGATTTTAATTGGTATGTAGTCCCAGCATCAGCAAGTTCTTCAGTAATTCTCATATTAAGTTACACTGTGGAGGTAATGTCAGGGAGTGTAAGATACAGTAACAGTTTACTTATACTGTATGTGTTTGAATCTTGGCACACTCAAATTGACAAAGTATGTTTAATAGAAAAGGTACTTTAAAGAATATGGATAGGGCATAAGGAAATAACAAACCAGCTATTACTCCTTCTGGGCTTAATCAGGCTAGGGAAGTTAGTTTTTGGGAACTGGGGATAGAGGGAATACTATAGTGAAGACTTTCCAACACCAGAAGTGGATCACAATGACCACAGGTTGGTGCTAGGGGTCAATGTACCTGACCTCACTCTCCTCTTCTCCTTCAGTCTCCTGCTGGTAATAACTTTGCATAAGGGATCAGGTAGAGCAGCTCCATAGGGGCAAACAGACATGTCCAGTCCTCTCTTCTGCTATGATTGTCTGCCTGATGCCTTCATTTACTGAACAAGTATCTATGGATGGCCTTTATACACAACATGTTCTATAACCCAGAAAATGAACTAGGTTCTCAAGCTGTAGTAATAGGGCAGACAAATCTCCACCTTCAGGAAGCTTACATTCCAATGTGAGGTAGAGAGTAAACACCAGACCATTCAGATCACATGGGTATGAAAAAGAAAGAAATAAAAACAGTGTAAGGGGTAGACAATTAGCTGTTTGAGATTTGAAGTTATCTTTCAGAAGACACATCAAAAAACCAAGAGGCTGAGCCAAACACAGAAATCAATAAGGCTACAATTACAATACAGTTGACTGGTAATTAGCCACTGGTAACTCATCCCTCTGACATGGATCAGACAAATGACTATGTCATTTGTCTTTAACAGCAAAGTATCTTGCACAGTAGCTTTGTTCAGAACAGGTAGTTCTTAGGTATAGTTAATAATTGACAGTTTTTAACAGATCCATGAAAAAAAATAAAAAATTCAGAGTCAAATGTTTGTATGTGTCTGCATGTTCATGTTAAGCAGGTGCATATGCACATGGGTGTATGTGGTGTAGAGGACAAAGAGCAAAACTGGGCATCATTAACTTTGGCTTTTGACCTTATTTTTTGAGATAGGGCTCACTGATTGACTATGGTGGCTGGCCAGCAAGCTCCAGGGATCTTCTTGTCTCTGCTTCATTAGTGCTAATATTACAGACACATGTTGCTACACCCGGCTGTGGGGTATTGGGGATCCAGATGCAGGTCCTTATGCTTGCACACCAAGCACTTTACCCATGAGCCATTTACTAATCTCCAGAGTCAAATATTTTAAAGCTGGTACCATCAAATGTTTCTCAAATATTTCATACGACTCATAAGGTAAAATATATGGGAAGTAATTGAGAAGACTTTGGATAGGCTGCCTCTGTTCTTACTTGGTTTTTGCTAGAGTTATGGGATTCCAGATACCTTTTACAGAATTTATTTCATGTTATTAGTTAAGTAGGAGGAAATTTTTCCAAAGTTTTAGGGTAACTTTAAATATATCATTTAACAGACTCAAAGTAAGAGTCATTAACAAATGAATCAGTTCTAGGTTTTATGGTTGCAGGATCCTTAAGTTCTATGGCTGAAGGATCCTTCCCTAGGTGTTGTCTGCAAACTGCACAAAGAGCAATGGAGAAGGGGAAGCTGAGAACAATCAATCCTCCATTGTTGTTACTTTTGTTTGAAGCAATTTCAGATGAAGTTTGGATTGCCACTGGTGCTCCTGGAGTCCCTGCTCTACATTCCCGTGTATGTCAAAATTGCTATTGATGAGAATGAGAATCACCCTCCCTCTTTCTTTGTCTCTGGAACTAACCCCGCCTAAGTCAATTTGTCTTAAAAATTCCAGGATGTGTGCATTATTGTTTTCTTTCTAGAAAATCTGTTTGTGAATTTTCAAGATCTCAGAAAAGATTGTCAAAACCATTGCAGCTCTAGGTTAACAAAGACATCAGATTGGTAGGACTTGTCTCTGTCATCATCATCATTTTTACATTCTCTGGCCCGGCCAGCCAGCTGCTGCCCTTGTCCTGGTCCCACATCTGATCTTATTTCTATATTTGAAACTACTCTCCTCTTGCTCTAACTTGCCTCAAGTTGATTCATGCAACACGTGATCACTTTGATTAAAATATACCACATATTGCCAATATTCTTGGGTGTTTTTCTGTGTGTCATTCCCTAAGGATGCAGTTTCACAGGGTGTTTTTGTTTATCACAGCTTAGTAGCTGGAAGGACTCTTTGGGGTTAACTCTTCATGGTATTTTTAAAAACTAAATAAGCCTACCAATGTCTAAAGGCCTTACAAAGTTATTGATTTCTTACTTAGGAATGAAAAGTCTTTATTACTGTCGTTTTTATTTTTCAGTTAGTTATCCCAGGTGCTAGGTCTTTGAGGTTGTTAATTCCCAGAGTCTGGGCAGGGGGTGGGGGTGGTGGTGCTAGGTGTTCATCACTCTCTTCTTAAAATATAAATCTGAACTTGTACTGTGGAGGGTCTTTGCGTTGATGGGCGCCTGAAGGACTGGCCTTAGGCAGAGGGTGGGTTAACCTGGCCATTTCTTCACATGGTTTCTTCATTTCTTCCTTTTTAGCCACCCAGTGTAAGCATGGAGCTGTGTATGACACCTGTGGCCCAGGATGTGCGAAGACCTGTGACAACTGGAATGAGATTGGTCCATGCAATAAGCCCTGCATTGCCGGCTGCCACTGCCCAGCAAACTTGGTCCTTCATAAGGGAAGATGCATTAAGCCAGTTCTTTGTCCTCAGCGATGACCTTTGTTCCAGTCTGTAGGACTTTGAAATATGGTGTCTTTGACACTGATGTGGAAGAGCCAATGAAGGACTGCAGTATTTGTGTGCCTGATTCTGCAAACACACAGAGTATATATGTGTATAGATATATAGATATATAGATATATTCAAAACATTTCATCATTTATATAAACTATAGGTGGATTATTATATGTATATTTTTTGCTATAAGACATGTATTATTTCTAGGAACCTACCCTAATCTTTAAGCCATTGGATACATTGTATAAATACACCAGGTGCTTTTAATTTAATAAGGTGGCATGCAGACCTATTAAATATCTTTAATGTTGCATACATTTGTCATTTGGGGGAAGTTTCCAAGGACGCCTCAATTGCCTGCCTGATTTAAGATTTGAATCAGCATCTGTGAGTGAGAAATCTGTTTCTTTGGAGAAGGGCACATTTGTCTAGGGGCATTTCACATTTCCAAAGAAAGGAATGTATGCCTGAGAGAGATGGCAGGAGATTGGCGACAGGCCCTAATGGTGCATGCAAACCAAGGGAAACCCTATTAGGCCTCATTGGGTCATAGGCTGATGTTATTTCCAAAAACTGGATAGTTGCCAAGAAATACATATTTGTCACTAGGGTGTTACCAAAGAATCGAATGATTTCTTTGCACTTGTGCATAGTCCATAAGCCTCCTCATTATTTATGTGTGTATGATGGATATGACCATTTGTATGTTATGAGTTGAGAGATTAAGGGGTGTCTGGATGGCATTTTATTGAGCATGAGAAGATATTTGGAGAAACCATTGCACAACATAGGAAGAAATACTAATTTCTCTGAGTCTCAGAACATTTTAGGATGAGCAAATCCAATAAGTAGATAGAGGTCATCCACTTTTGTGACTGTCCCATGTACAACATGAAAGTTTTGGATGTTGTGTAGGATTCCTGTCCAATGCTCTTTGGAGGTATGTGAAAGTATTAGACAGGAAGGAAGAATTTACTGATCAGTTCATTTAGCATCATTCCAAAAACTAATGTTCTATATATTTGTTCTGATTTACTGATATGTTACTACTAGTTACCATGTGATTTTCCTGTCTTTTGTCTTCTGTTGAATAGTGAAAATGGCAAGAATATAAAAACTCAAACCCACTGATGTCTAAAAGTAAAATGTTCTGCATCTTAGAAAATAAAGGGCTGAAGTTTTAAACTAATGTATTTTTCCTTTAAGATGTCTTGTGTTATACTTCATAAATTAGCTATATTAACTCAGGTAATTCAATTTTAGCAATTTTACTTACATATAATTTACTTACCCTGCCCTTCATTAATTTGCTTTTTCAATAAAAAGCACTATGGATACATAACAGCAAAGCTCAAAATTTTGTTAGAGCATTGACCTTGCTTATCAAAGGCATATATATTGATTTTACTTATATTTCTGACAGTGAAGGCATTAATTTGAATTTTTTATGGAACATCCCTCATGGTGTAAAGGATGCACGGCAATTGCTCAGACACAAGGGCATCTGGTCTGATCACTGCTGTGCATGGTTCCTTACCTGCCCCCAGTCTGAGGCTCTAGGTAGCCAAGGACTTAATTCAGTGACACACTTGGAAAGAGGACTTCACATGTGCCTTGGCTTGAGTGGTCTATGACCTTGTAAACCTTGTTTAAGCATCTTGGCCATACTTCCATGTAGCTCCTCTGTACACAAAGGGCCTGACCAGCATAATGAGCAGAATGGACATTCAGATCTAGACACTACTAGCTCTACTATCACTAAGTAGCATGGGCACCTTAAGCGATAATCTGAGGCACTGCAGCACCGACCCCTTATACTTGGAACCTTATTCAACCCTACTGTCTTCCGAGAGGAGGGAAAGGGTAAAGTAGTGGACTCTTCTGATTGATTTCTATCTTCTGTAAAACAAGCATTCCTTTAAGTTGACTTTAACTCTCTTTCTAGGTCACTCTGGGTTTTCCTCCATGTAAGAGGGCTGCTGAAAGGAAATGATACAGAAGGGAAAATTGTGGGTGGCTAGTTAGCACTCATGATTCACTCATGGACTGAGTAACTTTATCCAGCAAGGCTAACCAACCTCTTTCCCAACACTTTTATAATCATGGCCAGTCACGGTGGATGAATGAGAACCAATCCCACCATTTGGGGTGGCTGATTATATGTTTGCATGACACATCCAGGTCCTAGCTTAACCTCTGCACATTTTTTAAAAATTCTTAATCTAAGAAGAAAGAGAAGTCAAATGGAGCAGAAGGTTATTCAGTAGACCTACTAAGGCATGGGCACGTGGCTATGGGAGAAGGTGAAGTGAAGCTGGGTGGTTGACTACATTCTGATTTTGGCAGTTAGAAAGAGCTGAGCAGTGACTTTGTCTAATGGTCTACCATTAAACACTTCAATACTAGTGGACCTGCTTTATTTAGATGGGATAGTCTCAAAATCAAACTCCTGAGGTTAGATGACATGAACTAAAAATGTCTGACTTCCTCTTAAAGGAGGAAGGTGATGAGACTTGATCCAAGATACATACAGGGACAAGGCACAGGATAATACTGCTCTGTCTGTGCACTGAACTCTTACTATGATTATGGTATTAGCTGCGAATACTGAATCTGATGAGAAACAAACACCTTTGATACCGCACAAGAGCGATTCTGATTCCCGTTGTGCTCAATAGAGTACTCTCTTTCCCTTTCCCTGTGACAGTAGGAATGCTTGAACATTCTGACGTTAAAGTATGAACTAGGAAGAAAAGGGGCTCTTTGACATCGTTGACAGCAATTTTGTCAAAATAGTGGCATACTGAGAATCACCACCACCTCAGGTCAAAGGTGTGGCCTGCTTTTAACTTCTGTTTGTGAGCTGCCACTGGAAGCACCTCCCAGCACATACAGGAAAGACCCAGAGGGCGGACATGCCTCCCCCCTCCAATAAATATGAATAAACAGCTCTGAGGAACTCTTATGAACTATTTTAGAAATACAAAAAGGAGTTGACAATCATGCTGCAAACATCCGTGAATATATTACCCTAATTAACTGGCAGGGATTAGTAATTTTTCTTGAACAAATAATAAAATCTAATGAATACCAGCCTTGTGGTGGCAACAGCTCTGTGTGGAATGCGTTGAGTTTGTGTCTTGTGAAGTTCCCCTTCACTTCCCCGCTCTTTGTCACTCACATTCATCTGGATCTGACAGGTACCAGCACACACTCCCAGAAGCGCTTGATATGAGAGATGGAGACGGCCTTGGGGGACAAGTGCTGGGATATTTTAATTAGCAGTTTCCTCCAAAAGTAACTCTCAGGAGCAAACAAAAATAGACTCTGATTCTAAATCCTGACATACAAACCTTTTGGAGACCTGGAAAAAAAAAATTTAAAAAATTTTTTTTTTTTTTTTTTTTTTTTTTTTTTTTTTTTTTTTTTTTTTTTTTTTTTTTTTTTTTGAGGCAGGGTCTCTCTGTAGTCCCAGCTGTCCTGGACCTCACTATGTAGACCAGGCTGGCCTTGAACTCACAGAGATCCACCTGCCTCTGCCTCCCAAGTGTTGGGATTAAAAGCGTGTGCCACCATGCCCAGCAGGGCCTAAGATTTTAAGTCTGAAGAAATGACAGTATTCAACTGGCTGAGAAGGAATAACATGAAAATAGAAGAACGCTGGTGATCGTGCTGACCCTGAACTAGACATTGATTCCTTTGGGTTTAATTCAACAGCTGAATGATAGAAACATGGAGGCAACCCATCCTTTTTTGTGGTTTTCTTGTAGATTAATTTGAACAAGCTAGCTTTGAAAAGGTAAATGAGTGTGAGAAGGATCAGGAATTTCTCCTTAGAGATGAGCCTTGAAGAGTAAGAACAGTGGTCCGGCCAGAGGAAGAAAAAGCTTTGAGGCAGCAGGTGGGTCTGAACCTGTGGCTGGGCCACTGACAGAGCAGCTTGAAGAGAAGGGTGCATGGGTGGTGGTGGTGCAGGCAGAGATGTGAGGCAGCCGGGGTTTCAGAGAGTACATGGTCACCTTAATGATCATGGGTCCTCGGGAATACCTTAGGACAGGGCTAACTGCTCAAAGCTTTTTCTGTTATGGCGCAAAGAATCGCATGTCCACGTACTGGAGTAGGTATTCAGGGTTGCCTGATGTCTCAGGACATCTTAGGTCCTGTACAACAGTTTTAAGAGTGGAAAGGGCGACAACAGCCTTGCCGCCCTCTCCTGTGGTGTTGCCTGGTGGTTTGAGGCACTAGATGGAAAAGTGCCCCAGGGCAGATCTGAGATGGAATTCTGTAAGCAAGGGAGGGACATGACTAGGCCTTGATCTCATGGAGAGTTCTGACAGTGGTGTGGAAGTGGGGCTTTCAGTCAAAAAGAACTCATCATGCCTCCCCTGGACTTTCTCAGGGTCCTAGGACTAGGAAGAAGACAGCAAGGGGTTGCCAATTGGATGGTGGCCAGGTGAGTCTCTGGCTTGAGTGAACGAGTGGAGGTGATGCCAGTCCCCCTTGTAAACAGTGCTGGTAGGGAGAAGATTGAAAACCATTTCTATTATCCATCAGACGGTCTATGCTCAGTTTAACTAAATAGTCACCCTTCATGTTAGGATGAAGACATGGTTCTTCTGGAAATAGTCACACTCTGGGACAAATGGCTTATATAAAACAGGAGTGCACAGCTCTTCTTAGGAAGCTCAGGAAACCCATCTTGAGATTCTTTTCATCAGGGTATCAAGGAAGGTTTGTCAGAGAAACAACTAAAGAAATGAATTTTAGACTAAAGTGACTTTACTTATGCAAAAGTTGTATGTATGTGTGTATGTGTGAGTGCACGTGTGCACATACATAGGTGTGTACTCACTTGTGCATGTAGGCATGCCTGCATATTGGCAAAGAGGAAGTGTTTTGGGCATCTAAGGCACAGGTAACTGTAGGAATAAGGAGAGAGGCAGCATGGGAACCCCAGGCCTTAGGTGCTGTTCAGGTGTAGGAGATTCACAGCAGAGCTGTGACAACATAACTCACCCAGAGAGATCTTTGAAGGCTTCCCTTGATCTCTAAGAAGATAAGCACAAGCAGAGGTATTTCATTATAAATTCTCCTTCCCTCCTCCACCTAGGTGTGTTCAGTTTCTTTGATTGACCTTCATAATATCACTGAAGCTTCAGTGGGCATTCTTGCCACCTGTCAGTGACCCTCCCATGCATATTGAGGGGCCACTGTTCAGACACTCTGGATAGCGTTTGCTTTAACAGAACAGGGTCATGAGCATGCATTTCACCACTCCATTTGTTGACTTTTTCGAATGTGGCCTGATGGATAGACAGAGCTTAGGGTCCAAACAGCTGGTCCTGCTGGCTGGTGTCAACAGCTTCGGGTGGCACCTAGGGGTAAAGTGCCTGGAATTACAGCTCATGCAGAGTTCTGCTTGAGCTATTCTGTCATGTTCTAGCCACTTTGTGTCATAACCCAGCTTGAGCCTTGAACACTTACATAAGCTGCCTCTGGTTTCTAACTGGAACTTGGCTTATTAAACAGTTCCCCCAAGGGTCACTGGGTAGTGAAATTTGTAGCTTTAGGAAATGTTTTTTGGTGATGTAAAAGTTTACACTGACTCCAACAGTATAATACCATTTTATTACATTCTCATTTCTGCACATAATTTAAAGAAGCATATCCTCCTGGCTTCAGTGTTAAAATGGGCATTAGGGAGGGACATAGGAGGGAGTGGGCTGGTCAGTTCCTCTGCCTGTGCTCAACAGGCTGCCTAGCAAAGTAGACATGTGACGTGATGGACACTCTCCTCATCACTCATACACTTTTCTAAAGAAGGGAATTCAAAGGACCCTCCCCATTCAGTATGAATTCTGATGATTCTGTAACTTGAAGACAGTCAGATCAGGGGACATTCCTACCAACCCGTTTGCTTACTTCACTTATTCTCAGACCTAACTGACTGTGAAAAGAAAATGAGAGTTGGAAAGAAGAGGAAGGATTGGATGACAGATTTATCCACAGCATCTGCCACTCCAAAACACCCCAAAGCCTCAGGGAGGATGTACAACCGACTGCTGGATCAAACTGGAAACCATTCTCCCTGTCTGATGGGATGATATTTGAGGATGTTTGTTTTGATTGAGCGGTTCAGCCCAAGGAATTTCATTTTCATGAAATTCATGTTTTGAGTCTCTTTTTTTC